TGAATCCCCAAAGACTCTGTGGTATACCATCTGAAAACAAAATACTTTGATACAATAACTGTTTATGATGCTTCGTGTTCAAGACTTAAAGAAACATTACTTAGTCTTTTTATATAAACAGTGACATTCAAACTATTCCTATTACAAATTTCAATACCAACAATGACATATAACGGAAAAGTATTAAGAAAACAAAAATGAAAATGGGTAATTTTCCTGTTTATAAAAAGCTAAAACTTTGCAGATTTCAATTTTCAAAACACTGCTTTGTTATAATTCTTTATACTAGTATTTGATCATGATAACAACCAATCAGATGTACAAAGGGAAATTGGTCTTCAGTTTTACAGAAAATTTAAACCTTCAAAAATGGGAAAACAAAGCATTTCAGCATGTCTGAAATCATCCCTGTTTAAAAAAAAAATAGAGTATGAAACAAGGATGATTTTTTCTTTTAAAAAATAAAAGCAGCAAATTCTATGAATGATTAAGTAATGGACAAATCCAGAATCAAAGCAGTTAACATATTCTCAAAAGTGGGAAAGTAACATCTTTGTTAAAGTTCATTTTCTTTTTAATTTGCTGTTTGCCATATACTGAATATAATTGAACTGAACTGAACATCTCCTGTAACCGTGGATATTTTGGTGGGTTGTTATTTTCAAGATTTCAATTCAATTACTATTCATCAGGCATTTCATTAGCACAAGGAATGATAAGTAAGCACTTCATATAGATTTTTTTGATTTGTAAAACTATCCATGTGGCGGACATTTTTACGCTTTTTACATGTACATGTTCCAGAAAGAAGCCTATATAACCACAATGAGAACAATTTAATGTTTCATTAATAAAATTGATGTTAACCTGTGGAAATCTGTTTTGTTCTTTAAAAAAAATTCTTAACAGAAACTCAGTCAAGAGACAAATAAGCTAAATATTATAACAATGCCAGAGTTTCGATAAACTTAATTGATATAGAGTGACATAGAACATACATGTAGTAATCTAAAAAACATCACAAAGGATCTGATCCACATATTTTTACAGTAGAGCCCATAGCATTTTGATCTTCTTCATTATTTTCTCCTGATGTTTTGGGATACAATGCATTTACAAAACTCTGGGTGTTAGGTTGGTATGATTCGTTCTGTCTACTGAATCTTATGATAAATAAAATGACAGCCACTATTTCAAAACATCCCAATATACCAATTACGATTCCTATTATTTGTCCTGTCGTTAAACCAGTGGTTACTCCTGAAACTGACAAAAAAAAAATAAAAATAAAAAAAGAATAAAAAAATCATCTTAAAATTTACAATAAATTTCTATAAAGAAGGAAATCGTATTCATTTGATGATTAATTTCTTCGCCTCTGCTAAATAATTGTCTGAAATAACTTAATAGATTATCACTTCAATATAATTATAAACTCATAGTGCCTGTGATCACTGAAGTAAAGAGTGCTTTCATTTCGAAGCGGGAACTAAAAACTAAACATTACATTGCATTTGAAGGCAATACTATGAATGGAGATATCTTCCTTTGTCCATAATTGTAGCTGAAGTGTTTGAGTCAGAAGGTGTACTTACTGCATAAAACTGATGTTGGCTTGTTTGTTAGGTGAACAATGCAGACTTTATTAGCTGTTATATAGACACATTGGTTACACTGATTTTTATTTATCCTTTTGTTACCTGTTCCATGATTGATCATCATTTGATTAGCTAATAATTAAAACTTCTTCTTCTTTCACAAAGAATAAGCAAATGTATTAGTTTTATGGTCCATTTTAATTGTTTTTTGTACATACTCAAACAGAACAGAACAGAAAACCGACCATGACAAGGGTTTTTGATTGAACGGTAATTGTTTTACGCTGCATCAGTACAAAAAGGCTATAACGCGGCGAAAAATGACAAAGGCGGCCAATGCATAACAATTTTGTCTCACATAAAACCTTTTATACATGTAAGCAAAAATTCTTAATCCTAAGGGGAGGAAAAAATCTTATGTTAATAGAAGCTTAGGATATATTTATAAGATATTCAAAAGTTATGTCCCTACTAACCTAGGTCTACCTGCTTAAACAAAAGTTTATGAAATCTGTCATTCATGATTTAATACCTCTTTTTTGACTAATGAATCCATCATCTCTTGGTTTTGCTACAGCTGGTGTATTTGTTGCTTCAGTTGTTTCCATTGCAATATTAGTTACTGAAATGAAAGAAAATCATTAATAAAATAAGTCTACAATTTCGGCAATGATATCATGATCCAGCAAACTCATGACCTTCTTCAAGTTTGTCATCTCCTGGGTAAAGTAATTACCTATGTTTCTACAAACACAAATAACCAACGATTACAAAGTTTGCATTATGTTCCCAAATGTCTTTAAAACTGATATGCTTATTCAAGAAAAGATATCTAAAGTTTATATTAACATCACAACTGATAAAAAGATATCTAAAAGAATAGAAAAGAAAAGATATGGAGTATCCATCCATAACACAAAATCAGTACATGCACAGCAAAAAACACAAAAAGCAAAGGAACAGAGCTTTTATTACTGTGCTCTATCCCGAAGTGACGCCTTGAAATCGGAGCAAAAACTCTCACCTCCCTGCAAGTTTAAGACGGCCCCTATAAGTTCATGTTAACATCACAACTAATGAAAATAAATCTAAAATTCATGTTTCATTAACTAATGAAAATATATCTTAATTTCATGTTAACATCACAACTGCCTGACTTGTAGTCAAACAGGTTCTGAACGTGTTAACTTGAATAAAAGGAGAAGTTGGGTACACACCAATGAGACAGGAACCAGTCACAACAACAAAAAAACTCAAAACATCTTGAGGTCAATATACATGTAAGGTCTTCAGTAAGAGATAAATGTGTATAAGATATTCCAAGCTGTTTATTGCTTTGAGTTCAGAAACAAACTAAGTGGAAATGTTTTTTGTGGACAAAAACGAATGCTACCCTTCATTCCCATAAAAAAAAAGGTACAACAGACACACTAATTCTAGTACTGTAATTAGAAATTTTATTGTTTATAGGTTGGGTTTTAAACTGTTTTGAACTATTTTCAAAACTATCTATGATATGACCCTCCTGACACCAACATCTATGTTACACTAGAAAGGTCGCTCACAAACATGTTTAACCCAGCAACATTCTTTATGTACCTGTCACAAGTCAGGAGCCCGTAGTTCAGTGGTTGTCGTTGGTTCATGTCTGTCATAATGCTTCTTCGTAAATTGTTTTGTTATGAATTAGGCCCTTTGTTTTCTCAATTGAAATGTTTCATACTATAATTGCTTACATCAACTTCATTTGAACTTTGGTGGATAGTTGTCTCTTTGGCAATCATACCACATCTTCTTATTTTTATATTGTCATGATAATTTAGAAAATATATGGTTAAGACATTGTGTAAAAGCTCAAATTTGAAAGTGTTATAGCAACAAATTGAAAAAATGTCTACTATACCTATAAATTGACTTGACAACTGATACGAAACGATAGTAAGCTGTACACAAACGACAAAAGAAATGAAGTGGAATTTAAATTTAATGGGATTGTTTTCGACACTGGCATGAATTTATATATCCTTTTTCGAAATATCCCTTTACGTCTTCAATCTGGGACTAAAAGAAGAGATATATTAGCCCAATTCAAACCCAATGAATTCAGCGTTTGTTTTTATTTGAACTTTGTATATATACAGCTAATACAAACTTTATGATTTCCATGTTACACATTTTAGTTTTTAATGTCTTTGTTTTGTAGATGCTGCATAGAATATGATGTTATTTGTAGATGCTGCAGAAAATATGATGTTGTTTTTAGATGCATAGAATGTTATAGTTTTTCTTAAGATACTCCATAGAATATGATGTGAGTACTTATTTGCAATAGGTTTCTGTTTGGAACCCCTCCACATCCTTTTCTTCTAAAACTTTTAAGGTTAATTTTATGAAAGAATGATCCTTGTCGCAGACTGGACAAAAATGTTATACAGATAAAACCTAACCTGCTTTTGTTGTAGCTGTAGTAGTGATTGGCGGTGTAACTGCCTCATCTGAAAACAAAGAAGAAGAAATAGAATACAATGTTAATGAGGGTCAAATGTGTTATAAACTGTTTATTGTCATGAAAAATCGCCCAAAGAATTTATCCACCTATAAATATCTTTGTTTTTACCAGAAACGTAATATCGGCTTCTTTTATTCTTTTATATATTTTAAAGGAGTAGGGGCTGCGTTGGCCTTATGTGGACCCCAATACCAAGTCCTCATTTTTCAGAATGCAAAGTGTTTCAATTCCATGAATAAACATGCAAGAAGTGAAAAAAAAACAATTTTGTTATTTTTTTCTCTCAAACACCAAATTGGCCAAAAACAGTAAATTTGGTGGAAAAAAAACCCAATTTTAGGCAATGTAAACAAAGAACTCACAGGGTTTTGACAAACTACCGGTAAAATATTCAAGTAAGTTATGTTAATTTTGTTTTTGTAAAATTAGGCATATTTTCTATTTTTTCATTGTTTGAACTGTGAATCAATTTAATAAAAACCATTAAATACTAATTTGAAAACAAAATGGCCATATTCCGGTAAATCGAACCTACTTTTGTTAAGCTCATGTGGATATCATTGCATCTGAAATATTGTTTATAAGCCTGTAAAATGTTTTCTTCAACAAAATCCGATACTAATTATTTATTATCAGTGTCTGATTTTGTTAATGGTATGAATTTTTGTAAAGTGAAATAAAAATTCCAAGTGCTACATACCACAATATGGTGTATCACAATACTCCCATCTTTTGTTTACATCAGTTGTATAGCACCATGGACCATACGGCTCATTATCTGGATTACGACAATAGTTCTTCTGGTCAGACAGTGTCTCACTAAATCTATGTTTTTGAGGGGTTTGAGATGACCAAGCCTGACATAGACGACCTGATTTGGTTTGACTAATATTTCCTCTGAAATTGGCTCCTATCAGATTCATTCTACACTTTAGACCTATGAGAAGAAAGACTTTTTTCACTCAATGCAATTATTATGTTTCAGAGATTGGTAAACAAAACGTGAAACATATTCAGTGTTATTTATACTTGACAAACATGCAATGCTGTACTGTTTCATATACTGTAAATTCATTTATTTTCGTGGGTACCCATTATCGTGTATATGTGATTTCATGGTTCTGCCAAAGTCTGCATACCAGCCTATGGAAAATGTGTACTTCGTTGTACATTTAACATGTTTAAATTTGAGGAAAAAAAATCACAATTTCAAATTCCAAATAAGAAAAGTAAAGAAAAGCTGTCAGATAAGTGAATTGGTGACTTGTTTTCCCTCAACCAATTTGTTCGTTTGGGATACAATCAAACAGCTTTTACGAAAAAAATAATTAACTGTTACCTCGTTAACTACATGATTGTCAGTTGTCTAGGCTGACAATTATGACAACCTTGAGTTACAACTGACACCGTGTCTTTGACAACTGATCCTTACATAAGGTTTTCCCAAAATGTCGACAAGTATTGAAATATATCATAGAAAAACACATACAACACAATACAACCCAAAGAGTAATTGAAACCACTTCTCTCCTCTCTGTCCTCGAAGTCACTTCCTCCCCAAAATCCTAGATTTCTGTGGATTCATTTATTTCGTGTGTACAAGTTTCGTGGATTGAGAGAAATTTGTATTTTCGTGGATATTTGATTTCATGGTTTTGCCAAAGCCTATAGAAAATTTGTACTTCATTGTACATTTAAATTTGAGGTATACCTTTATCCCAAAAACCCCGAAAATTGGCAACCCATGAATAATGATGAATCAACAGTAGGCCCTTTTTTGTTATATTCTTATAACATTCAGCAGACTTAAAATAAGAAATATATCTCCAAGATATTCATTCATGAGATAAGCTTTGTTTTGAAGAATTTCCATCTCATTTTTTAGACAACTATGTTAGCGATTTAACTCAAACAAACAAAATCTTTCTGCTGCACATGAGGTAGAATATATGCTATGTAACATTTCTTGTAGAACATTAAGCTAACTTAAGCAGAAAACTTAACACTGGAAATTGCTTATTTATTCAATTGACCATGACCTAGGTTACAAGGTCTCAAAATAGTCATCAAACTGATATGTACTGTTAGTAAATAAACTCATCATAGATACCAGGATTGAAATTTTGTAATTGCGCCAGACGCGCGTTTCGTCTACAAAAGACGTATCAGTGACGCTCGAATCAATAAAAGTAAAAAGGCCAAATAAAGTACGAAGTTGAAGAGCATTGAGGACCAAAAATTCCTAAAAGTTTTGCCAAATACATCTTAGGTAAACTATTCCTGAGGTAGAAAAGCCTTAGTATTTCAAAAAATTTAAAGTTTTGTAAACAGTTAATTTATAATTATGACCATATCAATGATAATTCATGTCATAACAGAAGTGCTGACTACTGGGCTGTTGATACCCTCGGGAAAAAAAAACTCCACTAGCAGTGGCATCGACCCAGTGGTTGTAAATAAACTCATTATAGATACCAGGATTGAAATTTTGTAATTGCGCCAGACGCGCGTTTCGTCTACAAAAGACTCATCAGTGACGCTCAAATAAAAAAAAAAAAGTTAAAAAGGCCAAATAAAGTACGAAGTTGAAGAGCATTTGAGGACCAAAAATTCCTAAAAGTTTTGCCAAATATAGCTAAGGTAATCTATTCCTGAGGTAGAAAAGCCTAAGTATTTCAAAAATTTAAAGTTTTGAAAACAGTTAATTTATAATTATGACCATATCAATGATAATTCATGTCAACACAGAAGTGCTGACTACTGGGCTGGTGATACCATCGGAGAATAAAAACTCCACCAGCAGTGGCATCGACCGAGTGGTTGTAAATAAACTCATCATAGATACCAGTATTGAAATTGTGTAATGGCGCCAGACGCACGTAATGCATTTTTATAGAAAGTATCATTGATCTATCACAAGAATTTCCTGTCAAACTGACTTAATTTTACGGTAATATTGTACTTAAAGCGCGGAAATCACTATATGATCCGTGTAAACTCATCGAACCTTTAAACAAACTTATAAGTAAAGGTTATCTTACAAATGTTGTAATTAGATCTTTGAATATAGTTTACATTGGCACTAATATCGATTTTGTCATCAGCAAATTAAAACATAACTAAATTTGTATTCTTTTCAAACGGGATGTATAAAGACACACCCACGTTCGTTTTGATCTATAAAGAGGTTAAACTCCTAACTATCCTACTGTCTGTCGATACATTTATTTTTGGCATTGCACTAGTCATGTCTTCTTTGACTGTCCATCACGTTAAAATACTAAATCCCTGGGATGATTTTTAAGTGATTTTAGTCTCTGATGCATGATTTTTTATTATTAATTGTTTTGGCTTTTAACTAGCTGTCAGTAACTGCGAGTACTCTCAAATCGTACTTTCTTGTTTATTTGACCTGTTGATACTAATTGTATTGCTTTTTTGTTATTTAATGTTATTCAGGGTTATATAAGTGTTTGGTATTACAATAAATTTTCACTTTGTTCTATGAACATCAAAACTATTTATTTTGTAAAAATATTTCCTTTCTCTATTGGTACTGTATACGTATACCTAACAACAAAATTATTTTCATTTGCCTGTGTTTAAAGTTATTGCAAACGGCTGATATTTTTGTTCGAGCAGATTGTTTTTCTTTAATTGTTTAACATTTCAATCCGATATGACATGTTACTTTTATTATTCTTCCCTTAGTTTATTTATTTTGTATTTACATTGTATCATAGGTCAAATTTATTTGTTCAGTGTATGTTCAATGGTGTTAATATGTCCTTTGATTGAGTTAAGCCATTTCAGTTGATAATTTATAGTGTGTCTTTCTATGTTGTGATGTTACACTATTGTTTCAGAAAAAGGGTGAAGGTTTGGTACCATTAAAACGTTTAAACCCGCTGCATTTGTTTGCACCTGTCCTAAGTCAGGAATCTGATGTTCAGTAGTTGTCGTTTGTTGATGTGGTTCTAAAGTGTTTCTCGTTTCTCGTTTTTTATATAGATTAGACCGTTGATTTCCCGTTTGAATGGTTTTACACTAGTAATTTTGGGGGCCCTTTATAGCTTACTGTTCGGTGCGAGCCAAAGCTCCGTGTTGAAGACCGTACTGTGACCTATAATGGTTTACTTTTATAAATTTTGACTTGGATGGAGAGTTGTCTCATTGGCACTCATACCACATCTTCTTATATCTTATTATAGAAAATATCATTGATCTATCACAAGAATTTCCTGTCAAACTGACTTAAGCAGAAAACTTAACATTAAAAATTGCTTATTCATTGAAAGTGGCTGGACCATGACTTAGGGGGCAGGGCCTCGAAATAGTCACCAAACTGGTATGAACTGATAGTAATTCAACTTCATACAAAAAATCATTGATCTACCACAAGTAGATCCTATCAAACTAACCTAAGCAGAAAACTTAACATTGAAAATTGCTAATCAATTCAAAGTAAATGGACCATGTTCTAGAGGGCAGGGACTCACAATAGTTGTCAAACTGAAAATTAATGATAGTAATATGACCTCGTACAAAATATCATTGATCTTTGACAAGTAGATCCTATCAAACTAACTTAAGCAGAAAACTTTACATTGAAAATTGCTAATTCATTTAAAGTCACTTGACCATGTCCTAGAAGGCTGGGCCTCAAACTGAAATGTACTGATAGTAATGCAACTTCATACAAAATATCAATGATCTGTCACAAGTAGATACAATCAAACTAACTTAAGCAGAAAACTTAACAACTGTTGACGCCGTCATCATCGTCGTAGTCGCCGTCGCCGTCGCCGTAGTCGGAAAAGCAATTCCTATGTCTCGCTTTCCGCAACTTTCGTCGCCGACGAAACAAACATTAAGTGTGCAATTTTCCTGTGCATTGAAAAAGTGCAATATCACTTCAAAATGCCAATGTTTACACCAGTCTAATATTGTGTGAAAATATTGCCATACAGTAAAAGGGTAATTGCTAGAAATATTGATAAATATTATCCCTTGTAGATGCAAATGTAATACTTTTGCACTTTCAAGCTCTACTATGCAATCTTTTGATATGCTGTAATCAATGGTATATAAGCAAATTCATATATATTATAAACTAGGTGGAACGGTTTTTGTGGACTTAATGTCTCCCCTTTTTCTATAGGAGTCACTTCAGAAAAGAAAATGCACGACAAACATTGTAGCACTGTAAAGGTATTGTCATAACGATTAACAATATATATGGCCTCATTCTCATTGGCCATCATACCAGATCTTCTTTTCTTTATATTACTGGGGTTGAAATTTCATTGTTTTCAACATTTGTAACAATTTGTGATATGAGGGTGTGGGGTCATGACCACCAGTCCCTAGTCATGGATTGTTGTTATGGTGCACGAAAAAGGTATTAACATGGTTTAGGTTGGTATTTACAAACTTTTTAATATATTTAAAAATTTACAGTAAAGGAGAGTGGGGCATGACCCCAAGGTCAACACATATGGTGCACTGTAAAGGTGTGGTCATGACAATTAATATTTACTAGTAGTTGAGAGGTTGAGGATCTGAACAGTTTTGAAGATATTCAACATTTTATATGAGTTGGACATGGTATGTTCTCCTCGAAGCACAAGAAAGGTCTGATTGTGGCAATCAAGAATTAAAATATGGATTATATATTGGTATCTGAACCATTTTTAAGATATTTAACAATTTATTATATGATGGAGTTTGAACATGAAAACCAGGGCCAAACCCTTAGATGCACTGAAAAGGTCAGGTCATAACAAACAAAAAATACATGGGTTTCATGGTTTGGAATGATTATGACAAAAAAATATCTTAAATTTCTGTAATTTTGATATCAGAGCTTCACTAAGGTAGTATACAAACCTGTTTGACCACTACAAATAAATGGTCTTTCATAATTCTGACAATTGATATCATTCCATGTCCCATCTGGTCTCATTTCCACACATTCTTCTTCCGTACTACGCCATGAATCTGAAGGCTCCCCACTGTTCCAGTTTTCAAATGTCTTTTGAAATGATTCTACCCAAGACCAAGCTAAAAATATTAATGATGCAAATTATAAGACGACATATGAAAACAGATATATCAACTATCAACATACTTCAGGTAAAAAATATCATTACTTTCGGTAGTCACTTTTTTAAAAAGTCTGAATAAAGATTTTAAGAGAATGTAAATATCAATTATGGTTTGAGTATATAATGCTATTGTGATGTCATCAAAATGATATCATACACGTAAGTGAAAATAATCACAGTTCCTTGCAAAACATAGAGCTATTTTCTAGAACGTTATTAAATTCTTAAATTGTATACAGAATAAGTGTCGCTCAAATTCAGTTTTACCCAACAAAGTATGAATAAAACACATCCTTGTATGTTCTTTTATTTGCCATTTATTAGTCTATTGATAAGAGTTTTTAAAGGGGTAGCATAGACATATATCAAATCTTTTTGTTAACATGCTACATATCTATTTGCCATCAGTGGTTGTTTAATGTCAAACAGTACATTTTAATGAATTTCATAACTTCAACTTATACTCTTGCAAATTGGAGAACATAGTGATACATTTTTCACTTTCTGCCCAACATTATACTCTCTCTTTTGTTGACTAACAAACTTGACATAGACTTACAATAAGAATATCTATTCAGTTTGCTTAATCCAATCCAAACTTTCAGTCTGCTTCCAGCCAGTTTTTGGATCAAGTTAATCAAATAATCTATTTGATCAAGGCTTTGTATGCTAGTCAATGTTAAACCTTTTTTTATCACATTCTTTCTTTGCTTTGATCCATGTCAATGGATTATGTAGAATTGGATAATAGCATTTGTCACCAAATACATAACCACCTTTCTGGCAAGTGAACTGATCTGCTTCTTTTGGTAGTGATTCTGACTAGAAAAAAAAAAAAAATCTTTTCCCTATTTTGTCATTTAAATTCATTTATCCTGCAATGTTCTTAGACAAAACATAAAGAATTAGCTTTGGGATGTTGGGAAATATTCACAGTATTCGTATTTAACTAGGAAACCTACCCTTCTTAAACATTTCAGTGACCATTTAAGCGAATGTACAAGGCCAAAATATTAAGTTGTATCTTGCCCTTCGAATCCAGATGTGAGAAATAACACCTACTTAAAGACATAAAAGGATTATTGGACTTACAGGCTGGAATAATTAAACATTTCAGGGATCATTTAAGCGTACAGTACAAGGCCGAAATATGAAAATGTATCTTGCCCTTCAAATCCAGATGTGAGAAATAACACCTACTTAAAGACATAAGAGGTTTACTGGACTTATAGGCTGGAATAATTTAACAGTTTTTTTTAAACAGTGAAATAAAGTAAATTCAGGTAAAATGACCCTGGACATCTATGAAACCTTAATATAATAAATATTTGAAAAGAAAGAAAATGCCAAATAAAGTCTTATTTTCCACAGCACATCTATAAAATATGACTTGATTATTTTTTAAAGTTAAACTTGTCACACGTACATGCTTTCTGTCGATTGAGAATTTCTAAAGTTAGTGTTATATTTTTAGTTATTTCTACTGATTTTATTAACAATGAAAGAATTGAAACAAATTAAAGCCTGCATTGTATTGAAGACATTGAATTCTGCTGTCTGTTTTGATAATTGTTTGTTGATTTGGAAGACATCTGCCGATATAAAGCTAATATTTCTTTTAATTCAAATCAAAACATAATTTTCTAATATTATTAATACATACGTTAACTCTGTATTTTGTGCTTACACTGATTAATTTGCACTGACTTACTTACTTTTATTGATCTGACATAAAGCTGGAAGTTTGGTATCACAATCTTTATCTGTCCAAAAATCTTCTCCGACAGCTATACAAGGCTTACTTGGCAAATAATCTGAATTCCAATGAGTGTACATTACAGGCCAACCATTACTCCATTTATAAGTTATACCATCCTGAAAATGAATTGGAATTATAGTTACATTTATTCAATCAACAAAAAATAATGCACTGAAAATAACATAGATTTACAAAATACTATAGATCCTTTTAATCTTTTAAGTGTGACAAAAAGACAGATGAAAAAAAAACCTAAACACCAGCTCCCTACTAAGCAAAGATACTGTAAATTCAGAAATTTATTTTAATATTGGTATTTCGCTACGTGAAAGATTTAGCAAAAAAACTCGTTCTAAATTTTCAAAGCAATATTTGTTTGAACCATTTCCTAAAATCTCGAATAATACATTTTCATTTTTGTTAAAAAATCACAATTACAAATGCACAAACAAATTTCTGAACTAACAGTAATTACTTGTTAAATTTTGATGCGAAAGTTCATAAAAAAAACCAAACATAATTTTTAGCCTCTCCAAAGTTAATATTTCACTATTATTGATTTGAGCATAAATACATTCATTCAATTTACTTTATAACTAACCTTAGAATTCATATTGTTGAGATACCCCAAGGGTGACTGGGGAATAGAAGTATGGTCACCATTAGTCTTCCTCCGACTGGCAGTAAAACCTTTGCTAAAGTGGGGCGTCCGTTTGGCTGTGCAAGATGTACAAATTTGCAGCCACGTCCGGTCAGAATGGGGACGTTAAATTTGATGCCTCGTGTAAAGAGAGTGCCACGCTTTTTGCACGTTAAGAACCCTTGTAACAACTCTTTTAGGGGTCCGTAGGTGACCTGTTGCAAGGCTAAATTTCTGACCCTATCCAATATCCCCTCATTTTCCCGTGGCAGTCTACATTTCCCCGACCTTCATCGGCCTCTATTACAGAACCTACCTATTGTATTTGTTGTTAATTTGTTCTCGTCCTGAATATGCATGAAACATTTGCCACTGGACGTTAAACAACCAATAATAAATCAATCATATTGTTGAGGCCGATCCAAAATGGTAGTGATGACTTGTTATACGTGAGATAACTAACAAAACTTTTCTCTGGAAAATTGAGTATAGATGCTAAGCTATCTCCGTCTTCTTGACATCTTGACAACGAAGTATTCCAATCATAAGTTGCTTCAAATAATTTATAACACATTTGATCATATTTGTTATATCCTAGTAGACAGTACACAGATTCAGAAGTATCTATAGGGAGTAATGGATCTGCAATAGAAATGAACAGAGATTCATATATTCAGAATGTCTTGGACATCACGTTTATGCTAAAATTCTATTCTAATAAAAATGGTCTAAAATTCTATTCTGCTTAGAATATTTTGCCTAAATTCTATTCAGCTTAGAATATTTTGCCTGAATTCTATTCAGCTTAGAATATTTTGTCTAATATTCTCCTCTTAGATTTTTTAAAATCACTAAATTATTAGCAAAATTTAATTGGAAATATTCCTAAATTGCAATGGCAGTCCTACTGGAAATTAACTTATATCATGTGGTTTTAATTATTTTGCAAAATTTAAAGGCTCTATATATCCTTTGTTTTTCTATTATATTAAAGGAGTTTGTCTCTTGTGCTGTGTTGAGGCCGTAGAAAATGTTCTCGTGCTTGAGGTGTGTGCTCTTTTGTATTTTTAAAGTTATTGTGTATTTATTCTCTTATGTGTGCCACATCATTCTCTCAATTTTAGGCTAGTTTGTGAACTAAAATTTTAAGTAGACGCAAACCACTTATTCTAGGCAATCATTCCTATCGACGTTAACTTTTTCACTTCTAAACATTTACAGTGGTCCGGGATCAATATACCGTTATTTACACATCATACCGTACTGGTTACCGGAACTTTGGATACACCAAACCAGGTACTTCATATCTGAGAAACAGGCAGTATATGCCCTCAATTTTAGATTTCATTCATTCATTTTTGTATTATTCAAAAATCATCAGTAAGTTTGTTTTCTACAAGGATCACCAGTCTATCACCTTTCATTTGATACACCAATCACTAAAATATATTCTACAAAGTTTGATATTTACACCTTTGCGTAGAAACTAATTAGTTTTAAATATGTACTACTTTCCAGTATGTTCTTTTCTGACCTGACCCTTTTTGTTGGTGTTACATCTTACAAAGTATATTCGAATCATTTTGCAAAGAATTCCGGTCAACCCAGTGCTAGGGGCCGTCTTAAACTTGCATGATATGAGGTTTTATTTTTTTTTTGCTTCGTGTGAATGGCATTACTGTGACTTTTGAGATGGAGAACAGCAATACAAGCGGTGTGATTTGTTTTTTGTGTGTTTTTTGCTGTGCATCTACAGATTTTGTGTCATGAATGGATACCCCATATCCTTTGTTTTTCTATTAAGGTCAAATCAAACTAAATTTCTTATTCATTAATAAATACTTTTGTTGATATATTTCTCAGGGACTTCACTTTTTGTTGGTAGTAGACATCAAAAGAAAAAAAAACTTAACCTGTTTAGTGCCAGAGTAGATGGATATATGAATATATAGTTTCAATATTATGTGTTCGTCCTATTTCACTGCAGGGCCTCGTTGGCCGAGTGGTCTAAGTAGTTCATCATCTGCCTCACTAGCCTGTCTACACTAAAGTGAAGAGTTTGAACCCTGCACGTGACACTAGTTTGTTTTGAGGATCGAATACACATGGAGTATTATTGTCAAAATTTCATCTGTATAAATGTGTTATAATTTATAGTGGGATACCATTTGACTTACAAAATGTCTGTATTCAGTAATAGTGACCTTGACCTATGACCTGTTGACTCTTTTCTATAACTTCCATATATATAAGGTTCATTGGAATCAGGAAAGGGAAAATCAAGCTATCATTCAGAAACAATCGGTCCATTTTGTTCTATTTTTAGTAGCAGTCACCTTTGACTTTTACCTCAAAAATAAATAGGCTTCTTTGTGCTAATATTATCCATCTTTATTTGTTTTATTCCAATCAAGCAAGTAAATTCATGCTACAAGCCAGAAACCATTTACAAAAAAAAAACTGTCTTAGAAACATTGATTTTGACCGTTGAACTTAAAATCGATAGACTCCTTTTCCTTCACTATATCTTCCATCTGTATGTTTCATTCTAATCAGGCAAATGATAATTGAGTAACCATCCGCAAACCACGTGTTTATGCTCAAGAACATTTTTTTTAGGAGCACAACAAATATGGACCATCAATATTCTCTGTTATATCAGTAAATATAAAATACAGCTGACAAATTAAAAAAATTACATTATATTAAGTTAACAAAATAACTATTAATACTTTGTCTTAAGCAAAACTTACTCTGTAACCCCTGACAGATAAAATACAAAGTTGAACTGCATTTCTTTTTTTTCCATTCTCCAAACTTCTCGTTGTTCACAAAAATATCAACGCAATCGCCCTATACAAAAAGTAAACAAATATATCAACACAAATCTAAACAAAAGTCATCAAATACATCAACACAATGGTCCTTGAGAGTTCAACAAATATATCAACACAATGCTCCTATACAGAAGTCAACAAATGTATCAACACAAACTTCTATACATAAGTCAACAAATATACCATCACTAAGCTCCTATAAAATAGACAAACAACTACAACAACACAATGCTCCTATACAGAAATCAACAGATATATCAACACAATGCTTCTATACTAAAGTCAACAAACATTCCAACACTATATTTTTCACAAAAGTCATCAAATATATCAAACAAGTCTCTTGTACAAAAGTCATCAACGATATCAACACAATGATCCTTTACAGAAGTTAACAAATATATCAACACAATCCTCCTATACAATAGTCAGTAAAAATATCAACACAATACTCCTTAACAAAAGTCAACAAATATATTCTCCTTTAAAATAGACAAAAGACTATATCAACACAATGCTCCTGAAGTGAAGTCATTAAATATATCAACACAGTGATCCTGTACAGAAGTCATCAAATATATCAAAGCAATGCTCCTGTACAGAAGTCATAAAAAAACAACACAATGCTCCTTCACATAGGTCAAGAAATAAATCAACACAATGCTCCTTAAATATGTAAACCTCTGAGGAGCCAAACATTTCTAGAATTAAAACTTTTTTTCTAAACCTTATTTTTGGGTTTATATGACTGTAAAAAAGTAATTGATGAAGAAAAAATCATAAGGTGGTGCACTTCTGTTTTTGCTACGGCCATTTGAAAGTACCCCATTTTTATTATTTCCAATTTTTAATCAATTTTTACCCATTTTTGGGCTATTACCATGAAAAAAATCACAGTTTCATAACTAAACGTTTTTTCATACTTTCACTTAAGATGAAGTGGACCATTTTGAATAAATTTAACTTAAAATATCTATAGGTAGGTGTTAATATAAGAAAGTTGTATAAAATTTTGTTGCTTCTTCATGTCAAGTTGACAATGCTGTATATTTTGTAAATTTGGGATTTTTCTCTTTTTTTTTTTTTAAACAAAAAGCATATTATATCAACTTCTTTGTTATGAATGATTGAAAAAATACATATCTAAAATTTTTAAAAAGAAAAAAATTATATGGGATGTACTTATTTTTGGCAAAATCATTTCTTTGTACACTTCACCCATTTTCTCAAAATTTTGGCTGATGACACTGACTGGATTGCTTATCAAAATTGAAAATTTCATTTCTCAAAAACTACTTATTGTAAGGACATAATTTTTTCACATAGTTTAGTTTGATTATAATATTTTTTTAATTCATTGATATTTTCCACTTGTATCACATGTTTTGGAAATAATTCCCGAACGAGATTTCAAGGAGACTGAAACATCAGAAAAATGCATCCTTAACAAAGGTCAATAAATATATCAACACAATGCTCCTATTTTAATAGTCAACAAAAATATAAACACAAAGCTTGTATACAAAAGTCAGCACTTATATAAATGCTGATTCTATAAAAAAAAAAGACAACAAATGTTTTAACACACTGTTCCTATACGGAAGTCAACAATGTTATCATCAATGTGTTTCTATTCAAATGCCATCAAATTTATCACCACAATGTTCTGATAAAGAAGTCAACAAATACATCACAAAAATGTTCTTCTAGAAAGATAAACAAATATATCACTAATATATAATAGTCATTAAAAACTCGCCACAATTTTCTTGTATAAATGTTTACTTATATATCACCAAAAGTTCCTATACAAAGACAGCAAATAAATTAGCCAACACATAAACAAGAAATGAGCGGCCAAATTGACAGCAAACTAGGTTTTCTGTAATTTGAAAGGCGCTTTCAGGCTTTTTGACCTATCACATTCTTTGCCTATTTTCATTCAATCAAGGACCATAAATCCTGAACGGCAGAACAAATAATCGTAATAATCCAACTTGACCACCATTTAGTCATCAGTAATCGCATGTAAAAGCATAATTGCACGAAAAGGACATAAAGTGCCTATCTTCCAAATGATTAAGGAACATAGCTCATGAGCGGTAAAAGTGAAAATCATAAATTTTGAACTTAACCTCCATGTTG